AAAAAAAAAAAAAGACCAAAAAAAAAAAAAAATTAACACCAGGCCTAAGAGCTGAATTCACTTGGTACCAGACATACGAGTGTAGGCTACAACACAAATCCTCATCACTTCTCTACTTGATAATACCAGTAAAACAGAAGATGCTAATAAGCTCGTACAATTATACAAAAAAAGTACATGAAACAGAGAAGCTCTGACGTGAGAATCAAAACAAATGTGTAAACTGAGGGACAAAAACATCTTACATCGTGGTTTCACAAATCTCACCCTCCAATTTCTGTCTCAAACATGAACTGTGATGTACTCGACCTGTGAGACCTCCAAAAAAATAATAAATCTATACCAGATTAGAGTAACTATGATAAACCAGTAGCACGCCCCTATCTGGCAGCATGGAAACCAAACACACTGAAAATTTGAGGGTGTGTTCCCCCATCTCAGCACTTCCCAACTCTTCTCCTTAATCCTTAACGTTGTCTATAATAGGAATTACTCCCAAGGAATGGAGGCAAAAAAGGGCAGATCTCATCCAAGGACAGTGAACAGACAGCAGAGAGGAGGACGGCCGACTGTTCCGCCCCATTCCCACCTTCTCCACCTGAGCTGAGAATCAGCCCGGCCTGCAGCAAGGAGGCTCCGGCACTGTCCACCCTGTCAAAGGCCTCCCACGCAGGCAGGGAGGAAGCCCCACCCACCATGACACCCCCACCCAGTTACCTTGTATATGACACCCCCGGTGGCAGAACACGTCAGCATGTAATTGCCCTCCGAGTCAAAAGCAAAGAGGCGGCCTCTGGGGACTTGAACCTGCTTGTAGCCGCTGTAACCCGACAGCACAAAGGGGCCCGTGGCATCCGCGGGGAGGCCGTACTCAGACACCTTCAGGCCACTCTTGTGGATGTTCCATTGGATGAACTACAGTGAGAAAGCACAAGCAGAGGGCTCTCAGCAGGGCTGGCCAGGGCGACCCACCTCTCCGGCCACAGTTCTGACCCCTGTGAAGAAGCCTTTCAAGTGCCAGAGGCAGAAAAGGGGCTTGAGGTGATGAGCCCACAGGCTACCCCCAATCCCTCTCTTGCCAACACGATTTAAGCATTTTTTAGGGAAGAAGATCTAGAAAAAGTTTGACCCTTCACTTTCCCTCTGGCCTGACCCCAGGAGAAGAAAAGGGACAGAAACTAGCTTTACGTGGATCCCTGGTCTCTCAAGCAAGGGGAATACTTCAAGTGCCACCATGCTTATTATTATCAATGTTGTTACCAGAGTTAGAACCCAACTAGATTCTGCTGACTTGAGTACAGAGGACAAATTCCAAATATATTTCCAGTTTATCAGCAGTACAATCAATTGAACACTGGGCGATGAGTTATAGCTTCGCTTCATTTACGTGTACTGTAGATGATCCGTTTAGCCTGCCCTGGGGACAGGCTACTTGGCTGTGACCGCCTCTTCACTGGGAATCCGACCCACATAAACAGAAAGCCGAGATTTAATTTGAAAAATCCCTTTCCATAGTCTTCAAATGCAGAACTTATTTTGTAATGACTATTTTCAGCGGCTATCACAGGTAAGAAGTGTAGAATCCAGGACACAGGACAGCACGCATGGTAAAGCCAGTCCTTCTCCCCCTCTGCCCCACCCCTGCGCCCTTTCCAAGGCAGTCACTGTTCCACAGAGGGACTCTCCAAGCAGCATTTACTTTTACTTTTTTTTTTCCTGACTTCCTTTTGACATCATTGGACTCTGTTCAGGCCTGTATGCCTCTGGGGAGCTATCCCCAACCCCTCAGCAAACTATGAATCTGTGCTGTGACCAGCCAATTACCACGTTCACTAAGACATA